TTCCGTTTCTTTCTTGATAGTTCCCATCTTAAGCCATCCCCATGTCAAGTTGTCATCACATTTTCCTTCAATGTTTTTCAAGTGCTGTCCATGCAAAGCTTTGGTTTCCCATCCATTTAATCTGTCATCCAACTGTGTTTCCTTATATCCTGCCTTTGTTTCTGTTGTTTTTATACTGTTCTCCGTTTTCACAGCCTGCAGCAATTTTTCTGTACTTTGGTTCACATAATCATTCAAACTTCGTTTTTCTTCTTCTACAGTTTGATGGATGCGCAATAGCCCCCTGCCCCTTATTTTTCTTGGCAGGCACAACCTGTCGATGTCACTTCGTGGATGTAAAGTGTGGTACATATTCAAAAGTTTGTGTGTTTTCCAGTCCAGGTTTTCCGGTCCAGCCAAAGTCCAGTTGGTGATTCCAGCTGAGTACCGTATCACTGGAACTGCCCATATATTAATGGCTTTAATTATGTTTCCAGCATTCAGCTTTGATTTTAATATTTTGCGGACTCTCCTGCTGTATTCCTTTTGCGTTGACTTTTTGACTTTTCCATTCAAGATATTATCTGCTTCCAATATGCCTAGGTACTTGTAACCATCATCCTTTGCTAATGCTTTCACTATATTTCCATTTCCCAGTTCTATTCCTTCTTTTTTTTCATTTTTCCTTGCCGCATGGATAATAGAGCACATATATCAACCAACTACCTTTTAAAAATATACGATATTATTATTATATTAGTATTAGTATTATTATTACTTCTTTTATTCATTAAACATGAAACTCAGTCAAGTGAACATTTAAAGATGTGTCACAAATACCATTGACTGGTGCTGGTGGTTGATACGGGTTGCTACCAGCGTCCTAGGTATCAACCAAGTATCTTAAAATATATGATGCTCCTAGTAGCGCAGTTTTTTGCAGTTCTGCTAGTGTTATTGCTGGAAGCTGCAATTTTTTGGTGTGTTTTGTGACATTCCTGGACATGGTACCAAGTGCCCCAATGAGAATGGGTATCACTGTTATTATTTCTTCTTTTCATTAAACATGAAACTCAAGTCAAGTGAACATTTAAAGATGTGTCACGAATACCATTGACTGGTGCTGATGGTTGATACGGGTTGCTGCCAGCGTCCTAGGTATCAACCAAATACCTTCTTAAAATATACAATGTTCCAAGTAGCGCAGTTTTTCGCAGTTCCGCTGGTGTTGTTGCAGGAAGCTGCAATTTCTTTATGTGTTTTGTAACATTCTTGGATATTATTATATACTTTATTCATTAAACATGAAACTCAGCCAACTGAATATTCAATAATACTAATAAACCTCCAAGGTGTGTGTGTGTGTGTGTATCTGTATAGTGTGTGTATAGTGTGCATCTCAAGGGTAGCATTTCCTGGGGGGCCAGAAGAAGTCTGGACGTGTCTGTTAGGTTTCTGCTCCCACTGTCCCTTCCCACTCAATATCTCAGGGGTTGCCACAAAGAAGAGG